GTGATGCAGGACTCACACTGAAAGAAGAACTTCAAAAATATATGTTGGAATGTCTTAATCAGATTTGAACTCCAGACAAGATCGAAGTCTCTTTAAGACCTGGCTTCATTGTTCGAGATCGTACAAAGAAACACACGTTTCATGAAGTGTTTCATGCATCTTAAAATTTTGTGTTATAGTATCTATTGGATAGATGAGCAGGTAAGCAAGTGTTGGCTTGCCCTACCTGGAGACACCAGGTACCACGCATAGGAGAAAGGTGAAAAAAAAATTGCCCAAAAAAAGTGTTTGTTTCAGAGACCAACAAGCAGAAATTGAATGTTAAAATCTCATAAAACACAAAGATTGATAAGGCAGACACTTTTGAGGGGGTTAACATTTAATAAAAACACCCCCCAAGTCATTTTAAATACAAAATGAAGTGTTTTATTCACGCTGACATTTTAAGTGTCTAAATTTCATATTATAAAAAATAATTACAAAAAGGCAGACACCGATTCCCGGCGTAGCTTCGGTCTTTCTCTGCGCTCTCATTGGCTGTTTTAAAGTAACAAAAAAATATGGACATTTCGATTAATAAGTTATTTTTAAACTTTTAATCTCTCAAGATAGTAGAATAGTATAATAATAATAATAATGAAAGAAATTGCATTAACAGTTTAGTACATTTTATCAATTTTTTTTACACCTTTCTTATATGCGCAGTACCTGGTGTCCCCAGGTAGGGCAAGCCAACATTTGCTTACCTGCTCATCTATCCAATAGATACTATAACACAAAATTTTAAGGTGCATCAAACACTTCATGGAACGTGTGTTACTAGCTCTTGGACTATAATGATTGCACTAAAATTGTTATGACGGTTTGCGTGATCGTAGCTTCATGCGATAGGAGTTTCAGTTAACTAAAATTAATAAAAAACTATTATATCTCTGAGTTTGCAACTGTCAAAGCTAGAAAGAAATTTTAATTGTAAGATTAAAATATTTTTTCTGTCTTAGTTTTTATTGTGTTTTGTTATTTGTTCAGTATTGTAAATATAGATATTAAATGATCCATGACGTTTATAAATCATATAAAATGTATTGCTTTTGCCTTTCTATGGGGTGACACCACCAACTTCCGCATCGGACGCCACCCAATGTAGCTACGCTACTGAGTAGCATAACTCGAGTGTTTCAGAGAAATCCTCAGATTCTGTGGAAACACATCCGAGATAAACTTCTCATGCTTAGCTTAAAACTAGTATTAATGACGTAATTTTTGTTTAGCGGCTTTTAGAAGGAAGGTACCGTCCTGTTCTAGCTACTTGTTTGTTTTGAAGTAATGTTTTGCTTTTTTTCAGTTTGGCAATGAGTAAATTGTCCAGGCAACAGGCGGTATTTGGGAAAACTGGCAGAAAATGGTTTAGTTGTTATAGTTGTAATTATACTACTTATCGTAAGCATTATTTAATCCGCCACATGAAATTGCATGATAAAAAAAGTGCATCCGCGTTCAAGTCTGGCTTAAACCTTTATGAATGTTCAGTTTGTTATGAAATATTCAAAAGTGAGGGTGATTTTGAAAAACATAAGGCAACATATACTGAGAGTGCTCCACGATCTATGCACGTATGCATTTACTGTAATGCAAAATCGGGTTGTGCGGTAGATTTGGATGACCACATAGTTAATGAACATCCCGAGTTTGTTAAAACAGTTGACATAAAAATATATGAATGTCCACATTGTATCTTTAAAACAGTTAAGAAGGAGAGAGTTGATCGGCACATTTTAATACATCGTAAGACTGCTTTAAGCATATGCAGTCATTGTGGTGCGACATTTGAAAATCAAATGTTATTATATGAACATATACTGAAAAAACATCCTTCCTTCGTATCAGCAGTTACAACCAAATTATATAAATGCTCAGAGTGCAGTTATAAAACTGTCATAAAATCTAACTTAGACATTCATTTTGTTAAATGACGGCATCCGAAAAAGTGCATTCACTGTGATAGAGTATTCAAAACCAAACTATGGCTAGATAATCATATACTGAGTGAGCATCCTGAATACAGATCAATATTTATGAGCAGATTATATGAATGCACAAAATGTATTTATAAAAACTATGAATTGTAACCTTATCAAACATATGTTAACACATCATATGTCTAGGCAAGGATGTTATGCAAAACTCAACAAACTGTGTACACAATGCAACCTAACATTTAATGATCGTTTATCCTTTGATGGCCATATACTTCAGCACCATCCTGATTTAATCAATTTAGTTACTAGTAGGTTATATGAATGCAAAAAATGCGATTACAAAACAGTTTGGGAAACTAATTTATACAAACATTATGCATCATCATGTGAAATGGCACGAACTATAGTTCAGTCCAAAATTTAAGGACGGAAGAGACTATATGAAAAAAATAAGATAATCATTTAAATTTTTCCTTCTTATTTCTTATAGCAAGGCTTTGGCAAAAAATATTACACACTGAAAACCAAATACCACTGACGTCGTAACGTGTGAGATAGGAGCGTGCAATATGTGTGTTAAAAGAGATAGAAGCACGTCGTTGCCTAGCAACCCGAGTACGATGTACGATATCACGGATGCCGTCGACGCGCTCTTTTTAAGATATATTGCACGCTTCCCTCTCGTACAGATTACGACGTCAGCTAAATTTGAACCTTACCCTATACCTATAAGTTGTATAGCTTTTGATAGATACAAACTGAGATGAAGCCAGCCCCAATTAATGAATTAATAAAAAGTAACTGCAAAACCACTCTTAAATATGGATGAAATTACCTAAATCTGCTTTAACGCCCGACAATTTTGATGAAACGTGTAAACAAAAGCAAAATTTAAAGGAGGCTCCAAATGATTATACCGTAGTGCATCTACAGAACCCACTTTGTAGCCAAATATATCTAAAGAAATGTTTTATAGAACGCAGTTTTGGGAAAACCAACATGAATACAACAAAATATGAATGTTGTTTTTTGATCTATACTTTAATTTTATTGTTCAGCAATAAAAACATGTGTAGGTGGAATAGTAGATTATGTTAAAACAGTATAACGCAACTAAGGTCAGATGGGACTCATACAAATCCTCAAGATGTTATAGATGCGGATGGGATAATTCGGATTTTTTTGACATTTTTTCTGCATTGCTGCTGAAGGATGCAACACAACTCATTAGAAATATTATGCGGCATGAATGATTCCCGTACATACATAACATACAAATTGAACAAAATAAAATCTAAGAAAATACTGTATTTTCTAAATATGTATTCTACCATACTGTACAATATTTTCGAAATATAAGAGCACCCTTATGTTTTGTCCTCAGATGATTATAGTACTACTGGTTTTATAGAAATCCGTTGTTGGAATAGCCATTAGCATCTATATTCATCAGTTTTTGTGAAATATCTCTTTTATTGATGTATTGATTGACGTTGGCTTTATCAGGTCCGTAATGAAAAGCTACACAACTTTCTTAAAAAAAAAACATTATCTGTAAACAATTTATTTTAAAAATAATTAGAGAAACATAAGTTTTCGTTTTTCGTTTTTGTTACGGCCATTTTTAGAGAAGGCCCAAGCAATAAATTATTGCATTTTAGTGCATTTGAACTACCATGTTTTTTTGTTTATTTTTCTATAGAGTCGCTTCCGTCCTTTAATTTTAGCAAAATTATGGTATTTGGTTATATTTATGTACTATAAGCTTAACAAAAGACGCTCATTTTAGTGGAGAATTGTACATCTTTTTTTGAGCACTGATGTCATTCAAACATTGCAGTACAAACTTGAAAATAAGCAAAATAACACACATGGTACATATGTATGTCTACCCTGAGCCCTAATGGAGTTAATATAGGACGGAAGTTTCATGTAGAGAGCGCACTTTTAATTTGTCTTATCGGTCAGTAGTGGCCTTGAAGTTTATATTGTTGAACAATGAGTTTATAAAATCCTAGAGCCGCCAAATAGATGATATCTTATAAAAGCTAATGTTAATATAATGTTTGTAACTATAACATTATATATATATATATATAGTTCAGAATGAAGTTTGTAAACTCTCATCCTTATATGTCGCTGATAAGACGAGCAATAAAACTTTGTTCAATATCTAGTGTTGTTATTTGTTAGACCAAAGCTTCGGTGGTTTTTTTGGTCGAATGCGTGATTGAAGGTGTAATTTTTAGCCGAATATGGCAAATTAGAGCCCTTCCAGACGAGGATACCGTATGCGAGATAACGCGTATCCGAGATACAGATATTCCATACACCCAAATCGAACCTTTCAAACAGCACTAGCGAGGCATTCAGTATCCCGAACGCAAATTTCGGTATCGCTCATCTTTCGGCCGCCGGCGACAGAATGCGTATGCCGCATACAGAATTATCATTATATTATACGGAGCTGTTCAGACACGCATACTTTTTCATCAGTGAATACGGTAGAACGTAGTCGTTGGGTTTTTCTTATGTTAGTAGTAAATGAGGTTAAGAATTTAATTGGACGTTAATGTAATACGTATATGTATATAGAAATGGAACTTGCAGTCTTTGATAATGAAAAGTTTGGTGGAACCAAATCCCTGTTTATGGGATACAGCGCACCCAGATTATTGCGATAGAAATAAGAAACAGCAACGCTGGGTGGAAATTGCCAAACAAATGTGCGACAATTTTGAGGAGATGACAGCAGCACAACAGAATGAATATGGTAAGACATTAAACATAATTTTATTTTAAATACATATTAGACTATTATAAGTAAGTAGTGCAGGCTAAAAAGTTTACATATGGGATTATTTTCATTAAAATTTATTGTCCCAAAAATACTTAGTTCCTATAGATAGATTTTACTATATTTTAGTTAAAACTAAAATACAATCTAATTTAGACATAAGAAACGAATATTTCAGAAATATTAGGAATAAAAATAAATTTCAAAATTTCAACAGCACTAGTTCACATGATACAACTATTCTGCCATGGTAATATATCAGTATTCATGAAATAGTCAGCAAAATAGTCACGAATAGCAGTCGCTGATCTTGCAGAACACGCTCCTGTTTTTGCAACATTAGCATCATAAAATCCTTGGACGGATAAGGCATCTTCATGTTTATATCCATCTAGTACACGAACAGAATTATGGAGTACAGTACAAGCTTTAACTATGTCAACAGCAAAATCTATTGACACGTTGAGTGGTCTGTGAAATATTCTCCACTTGTTAGAAAGTATTCCAAAAGTACACTCAATATATCTTCGTGCTCGAGTTAACCGGTAATTATGTATTCTCTTTTTTAATGTCAGATTTTTTCCACCATATGGCCTCATAACATTGAAGGATAAACCAAATGCTTCGTCTCTAACAATAACATATGGGATTTTGTAATCATTCTTTTGTGGCAAAAAATCTGGATTGGGAAGATCTAGCTTTTTTGAGCTTAAGTTCTTATAAAAATGTGAATTCGTAAAAATGCTTGAATCACTGTTTTTCCCATAATCTCCAATATCTACAAATGTGAAGCAATAATTCGCGTCACACATCGCCAGTAGTTGTATTGAAAAAAAATGTTTATAGTTAAAATAAAGAGAACCACTATGTTGTGGTTTTATAACCCGGATATGTTTTCCGTCTATGGCACCCAAACAGTGTGGATAATTTGCATTTTTCAAAAAACCGTATGCGATTTCTAACCATTTTTCTCGTGTGGGCTTTGGTATACATTGTTCTTTCATAAATATCCAAATTAGCTTGCATGTTTCCTGAATTATTTCGCTCGCTGTTGAAATTCCAACTCTGTAGTTATAATGTAGCTCAGTAAGGGAGCAACCAGTCGCCAGGTACCTGAAAATAATTAAAAAAAAACTTGTTGAATTTTTCAGGGAAAGATCTTCAAAAAAAATGGAAGAATTTAAGAAATTCTTTTGCTCGAGAGTTGGCGAAAAGAAAAAAGAAAAAAAGTGGTGACGGAGCTTCATGGAAAACTTATATATTTTTTGAACAGCTATCTTTTTTTATGCGATGCTCTTCAAATAGAGAGTAAGAAAATTTAACTTGTCAAAATATGAACTACTAAATTAATAGACTCGTTTTAGGACCACTTCAAATTTTACAGAGGAAAATCATACAATCGAAGAAGCATCGGATCATGAACAAAATGAGTATGTTACTCCTTTAAGGCCTATACATGTACAGAAAAAAAGGAAAGTGGCATCGGAAACCGACCATAACACTGAGATAGTGGGCCTATTAAAGGCAAATCTTGCACAGCGACAAACAAACGATATTATGCTAGACAATGACGGAGACCGACATTTCCTTCTTTCGCTACTGCCGGACTTTAGAAGAGTGCCAATTGACAAAAAGATGGATGTGAAATTGGCAATGATACAATCGATAAAATCTGCCCTATTACCCACTCAATCTGCATTTAATTACAACCATGTACAACATTTGCCGTTTTACCCATCCGCTCCTAATCCCCCTTCTACACAACATCTTCCTATTCATAAGTCATCATCTTCACAAGTGCACGTTTATGGTCATCCTTCTTCCACTCATTCTTATTTATCTCCCCATTCGTCATCCAACACTTCATTCATTGAGTTACAATGTTCATCCAATGAAAGAACAGACACTGTTCCCATCCTCTCACCCCATTCCGTTGAATCAACTGCCACCTCAACAGACGGATCCATCATCGATCTTCTTGTTGATTACCAAGGCTAAGACCAAAATTGTGGAGCTGATAATTAATTATTATTTTTCTTGTACTACTTTAAATACAAATAGATTTAGAAAAAAAACATCTATAAGTATTTTTTCCTTACCTTAATGTCATAGATAGTCGTTCTTTTGACGAAATACTTCTACGCATAGTTGTGTCCTTTTTAATTAGTTTGTTTTCCAAAATATTATGAAGTTTCTCAAAGGACTGAATAGACATTCGATAATAATTGAAAAACTTCGATGGATCTTGCAACAAATCTTCATGTAATAAATTATACGTTCCTTTGCTTTCTCTTAATCCCAACATGGGATGAACCCACAAACTACGTCTCCTTTTTAGTTTCTTCTTCTTATTATTTAATAAATACCACACCGCGATACACTCTTCTATTTCCATAATTACAACTGCACTACACTGCGTCTGTTTTGCGTATAACAAGGCGGTATGCGATACAGAAGTAAAAAAGTATCCGGTCGTAATTCTGTATCTCGGATACTGTATCTCGCATACGGTATCCTCGTCTGAAAGGGCTCTTAGTGTTGGCCGGCCTGGTCTGTTAAAGGATTCAGTTCACCTGGATTCGTTCCATTGTCGGGCCCGTTCCAACGCATCTGTTCGTTTCGTTCCGCAGGGTATTACATAAAAAACTATATAATTTCAAACAAAAAACACTTATGAAATGATATTTGAGACATAACCTCAAAGTAGAGCGCTGACACGGAACAGTAGAAATCCAGAAATATCCTAGCCCTTCTGAAGGAGAGGAAAGACTACGAGAATCAAGAGGGCCATAAAGGCGTCCTACAATTTATTATAGGAACGACGGTCGATACGGCCCTAAGGCCGGCCATACACGTAACGGTTTACCGGAAAGGTTTACCTGAACAGGTCACCTGTACAGGTAAACCGTAGCGTGTAGTGTCAGCGTCTGCAGGCAAAGGTACAGAGGCGAAGCGACCTGAACAGGCGACCGTAGAAGAATGAAAAATCAATTATTTCGACCTGTGCAGTTGTGCTTTCCGGAGCGTGTGTGCCGCTTATCGAATGCCTGCGCAGTTATTATTTCAGTTTGTTGTTGAACGTTTATTATTTCAGTTTGTTGTCTGTTTACGTTGTGTTATTTATTAAGTTTTTTGTGGAATTATATGGAAGATATGTCAGGACGGAAAAGTAATGAAGTAATAGAACAGTTTATTGAAATATATAAATCTGAACCTTGTTTGTGGCGAGTAAAAAGCAAGGATTATCATGATCGCGACAAGAGAAATGCAGCCTACGCAAAATTGGTGATAAAGTTAAAGGAGTTGTGCCCGATACTACAAGAAACTCGGTAGTAAAAAAGATTAACAATTTGAGAAGTAACGTACGTAAAGAGAAGAAGAAACATGATATGTCAAAGAAGTCTGGAGCATCGACAGACGATTTGTACATACCGAAACTGTGGTACTACAACTTATTCGATTTTTTGGGAGATCAAGACATGCCTAGTTCGTCTGTTTCAAATTTGGATGACGACGATGAAAGTGACAAAGTAAGTAAACAATTAAATAATAATACTAGAATTTATTAAATAGTTTTTAAATGATACATATTTTTTCACTTCTTATTTTTAAGAATGCGACTTTCCTGCCAAGAAAGTTTACCTTCATGCATAAAGTAGGAACTGAATTTATCTCTTAACTGTTTAGCAGTAGAATTCCAATTTCCTTGGTTTTGACGTTCCAATCATGTTCGATTCGGAGGTATCCAAGCCGGTGCATATAACTTCCCCATCATAATTCTCCTGATATATATTATTTGGATGCACATAAGTGGTTGGTTGTTGTTGCATCAAGAAATTATGCAAGACACACGTTGCCATCACTACTTTTGATATGTTTTTTGGTTCTAAATTGATTTGTGTATGGAATATACGAAATCTGGATGCAAGTATTCCAAACGCATTTTCCACAACATGCCTTGCTCTGGAAGGTCGGTAATTAAAAATCTCTTTAGAAGCTGAGTCTAGCTGAGCTTGTCGAAACGGCTTCATAATATTCGTTGCTAGGGGAAAGGCATCATCGGCCACAAACACGTAGGGAATTTGTTTGAAATTATCGGAGACATTGCTAGGGTCTGGAATATTGAGGTTATTACTGAGCAATCTTTCATGAAATGTAGTATTTGAAAGAACACCTCCATCTGAAATTCGGCCATTAGTTCCAAAATCCACTAAGAGAAACCGATATGTAGCATCCACTATTGCGAGCAGTACCATGCTGTGTCTGCCTTTATAGTTAAAGTAGAACGATCCGTTATTACCTGGGGGAACTATATCTATATGTTTGCCATCCATGGCTCCGAGACAGTGTGGAAAATGCCATTTTTCCTGAAACATTCCTGCAATTCTTTCCCATTTTTCAGCAGAATCAGGAAACTAAAAAAAAACATTATGATATTTGTGTTCCCTAAATTTATAATTATAATTTGTCAAATTTATTAACATTATATGCTTATTTAAGCTGAAGTTAATAAATTTGTTTGCTATTATTGCTGTATTGTTGTACAAAAAAAATCGGTTGTCGATTTTGAGCATTTGGGTCCAATAATATGTATATTTGTTGCAGGAGATGATCGAGGAACCAGCCCCAACATCTTGCGTGAATGAAGTAACATTAACCACAGAGAAAAACGAGATTAGTCCAAAACAAGCAAGGTCAAGTGAAAATGGACGCTGTAATGACTCCAACGAACGCGGGCGACTTCCTGGGTCAAGACCTGATCTGTCAAAGAAAAGAAGAAGTGAGGAGCTGTCAAATGATGTTTTAGTTTCGGTACGTGATCATTTCAAGAAGCCTCGGCTACAGGAAGATCGTTATGATCTTTTGGGTAAAAGTATTGCATTGAGAATCAGATCTCGGGATAAACGTCAGGGTTTAATTGTTGAGAAAAAAATTAATGATATATTATTTGACGCGGAAATTGGCATGCTGAATGCGCCATTACACCCATCATATAATAATCCTCAGTATTCGAACCCTAGAGTGAGCAGTCCCATGAGCAGCCCCGCTTCATACACCAGCACACCCTATGTCTCGCAATCTTCTAATTATGATCAACAAGGTACACAGTCAACAGTGGCAGGTTGTACGAGCAAGACAAGTTTTGCAGGTACCTATTTCTCGCAGTTTGATGCAGATAGTATGTAATTTTTTTGTTGGAGGCATTAAATAAAAAACTTTACGGCAAAAAATAATTTAATTTATATTTGTTTGTTATTGTACGTACCTGAAGATAGTCCTTTCGCAACACTTTATATATAGCTTCACATGTCTCTGGAATTATTTTACCAAGAGCTTGGGGCGATATTATAGTAGAATACTTGAGACATTCGTATGACCGGCCAGTTGCAAGGAATCTTAAGGTTGCTGTCAATCTTTCATGGTCGGAAATTGCAGCTCTCATAACTGTAGTGTTCTTTTGTATCAAAGGGGTTACCATTGACAATAATTTTTGGTAGACTTCCTCGCTCATCCGCAAATAATTACGGTAATCCATTGGTTCGGAACTTAATTCTTGTATTAATTTTGTGTGGGTGTAGTAATTCCTTTTCAAAAGCCAATCTTTACACCAGGTTTTGCGTTTTTTCTTTGTTTTTTAAAAAAATTAGTCGCCACTACTAAACCGATCAAAGCGATCGCGTCATCTTCTTGATTGGTCGCCATCTCGAACTGAACTGAATCCCTCCGTTTTTTACCGTAACGTGTGTGTGCTCTTTTGCCTGTGCAGGAATACCTGCAGAGTAACCTGCGCAGGCCTACCGTACAGGTAAACCGTTACGTGTATGGCCGGCTTAAGAGTGTTGATGCTGACGATAAAACGGATGCCAAATATTCTGTATTCTGTATACAGGGTGTCTGCAAAAGGTTGGGAAATATCGAAACTGGAGATACTAAAGACCAAAATATGTGAATTGACGTAAACATACCTTAGTCCAGAAGTTGATAGTTTGCGTAATACAAAATAAATACAAATTTACAATTTTATTTTATATTTTTTCTTATTGCTCAAGAAGTATTCTAGATTTTGGGATAAAACCCGGTATAGGGAGGTTTCCTAGTATGAGAAACAAGAATCCGTTTTTTTATGGCCAAACTTGTAGAGGGCGCCACTTACAGCACAATTTCGGTAAATAACTTATCATAAATTTTTTGTGCTACCCTGTATACAACAACTGACCGAAAAACCTTATATTCTCATGTTTCCCCAACAAAAAAGGTTTACTTGTTAGAAGTGTCTAAAGCTAATAGTTTTCGAGATATTTGTTCTTAAAAGTTCCAATGCATTATTTGTACCATGATGATAAAACATATTTATAACATAATAATCAAGTTGCTTTGGATAATATCTGAGTAGCGTTGCTATGGTTTTTAAAAATAACAAATGAGGATGGGAACAAAACTAATAAACGGAAATAATAAGTATAAAAATTGTTCAAAAGGCACCACCTTGCCTAACACACTCTCGAGTTCGACGAACTAATCCTTGCTGCACTCTCCAAAGCATTTGTATGTTATTTGTCATTTCCTGGCTATGGTGGAAAATTCTTTGTCGAAGATAATCTACAGTTTTCACTGGCGTATTGTAGACGCGTCGTTTTAAATCACCCCAGAAGAAGAAATCCATAGCATTTAAATCTGGGGATCTAGCCGGCCACGATACAGGTCCTGATCGGCCTATTCACTGGTCTGGATAAACTCTATTTAGGTGCTCTCTAAAATGAGGTGGAGCGCCATCGTGCATAAACCACATATTCATGCGTGTTTGTAATGGAAGGTCTTCCAGCAGAGTGGGTAATTGTTCTTCAAGAAATTGTAAATACCTTTCGCCATTTAGTCTAGGTGATAACTCAACGGGTCCTATTAAATATTGTCCAATTGTTCCTGCCCATAAATTAATTTGAAATTGAACTTGGTAAATGGCATTTACTGTACATCTGGAAACTTGAAATTGTAGAGGTACATTCCTAACCCCAGCTGTAGAATTTTTAAAGACAGCAAATAAAACATTTTCTTCAACTTGACACGTGAACTCGTTTTGTAGTTGTACGTGTTGCCCCAACGTCATGAGGCTTCAGTTATCGATGCTTGGCTCTGATGTGATATAAAATCATTAAAATCTGCTTCAGAGATGGCATTACTGGAGGAACAGCATTGCATAGGTGCAGGAGAGGATTTGTGTGCTAATAATATGTGTTGATGATAATTCCATTGGATTCTTGTCTCAAATGCACTTAGATACTTGAGATTCAACACACAACGCGATAATGATTTCTCGTAATTCTCCTCAAACTTTTTGAAAACACAAAAAAACGTAAGAAATCGTAATTTATAACTTTGAACATAACCTGTCTTCAG